AATACTAATTAAATAGTATAAGATAGAAAATGTCAAAAAATATATATATATAAAAATTAGCAAAGTCTGATGACAGTATTTATTGCAGCAGACATGGAAAAATAAAGCTTTAAAATAAAAGCTTTAAAATAAATCCTAAAAAAAAGCGTAATTAAAAAAATATGAAAGGGATAAAAAGTACTGTTTTTATAATTTAAAAAACATTTACTCTTTATCGTAGTTAATTGTAAATATTTTTTATTTATTTTAATTATTTTATATAACTATTTAAATAAATATAAAATTTTTATTATTTTTTTATTTGACAAAAGACACTGTCACATAATTTAATACAAAGAAGATAATGATGATGGTGATTTATGTTTGTCAAATATATATATAATATGGTTTGATTATTAGCATTAATATAATGGTTGTTAATTAAAATACTTGTGATTTTTTAAATTGCATATGATATTTTTGGGAAGAAGATCATTAATCTATGGTCTTAAATTTGTCCAAGTGATTAGCTATTTTTCCATTAATTATTAATATTTGTGGTAAAGTTTTGAGGAGTGGACTGTGTAAATGAAAATTTGTTTTTATTTCATTTTTATTATACCTATGGACGTTTAACTTTATTGGGAATACCTTTTCTTTTGTGCTATTTATATTTATTGCCTTGGTTGTTTCACTGTAAGCAAGAAAAATAAATTATTTTATTTGTGAATTGGAATTTGACAGAGTTTTTTTAAGTAGAATATGCATCAAAATTAAATGTATATAATAAATTAGGTTTACGAGGATTAGATGTTTGATTACTTACTCTAATATCAGATTGGGTTTAATCGTTTGTTGAGTCCTCACTTAGCCTAATTGAATTGAATTGAATTGAGTCAACTTTTTATTTATCTGAGTTGTTGATTTCAAGAAAAAAAAGTTAGTTAATAATAATCTCTGCATCTTTTTGCATTATCTTTACATGGTTTTGTTGTGTTTCGTTTCTAATTTTTGAATTTTGTTTTTATGATTTTGGCTTTTTGTGTGAGTTGCAACTGCGTTGATTTTGGTACCCATCACTTCACACCCACTTCATGTACAATACATTAATAGTATAAGTTTTTATTCTGAAACTTATGAGACTTTTTGTTTCTCTCACTAAACCTGTCAAGTAATTGCTTTAAACCAGACATGGGAACCAAAAATTCATTTTTGGGAGGGTTAAATAAATGTATATAAAAGAATGATCAATTATATTGCGGTAAGAAAATCACTGAAAACCAAACAAAGGACAAAAGCAACTACACCAGAAAAATGACAAAAGGCCCAGGGAGAAACAAATACAACCTGCAATACAAATGGGACAGCCCACACCCTTTGTAGCCCAACGCCCCAACCAAACATAGCACCAGCTGCAGAAAGCTAAAATTTTACACTAACAATGCCCAAATCTGCGGGGCAGCATCTCCACAACAGCTCCAGTTTGGGAAAGCATTTCCAGACTGCACAATAAAAAGCTAATCGGCAGCCAAAAAAAAAAAAAAAGAAACCCAGAAAGTCTGTACTCACTGTGGGACAACCTGGAGCAACAGTACACTCTCCAAATGGACATAAAGCCAATCAGTTTGCAGTCTATACAGTAGCCAGAATCTCCAGACAAAATGGGTGTTCTCCCACGGCCTCATCTCCTGATGAAGGCTCCCAAGAGTTCCAAACTTAACCAATATGCGTACATATTTAATCAACGAGTTTTTTGTTGAATTCTTTTTTAATTTTTTTTTTTTAAATTTTAAAAATGAGAGAAGTGAAGATATTACTACCCACTTAACAAAAGGGTTTCTACCATCCAGAAATGAGATAAGAGCTGATATTAAACGACCCATGATTTTTAAAAATATACTTTAATCCTATATTTTTATTGTGTTTCCTTTCTTTCTCCACTCTTTTATCTCTTTACTTTCTTTCCCTTCATGAGAGATAAGTAGAACGTTTAGGAGTTTGGGCAATGTATCAAAGAGGTAGAGATGTGGCAATAATGGAGATGAAAATTTTAGTTTCAATTTCTTAGAAATTGGCAGCTTACGTATATAAAAGGCCTACTTAAAATTTTTTGCTTTTAAGCCCCAAATGTCCATGAACCGGTACTGAAGCCTCGTCTAGCCCTTTTGCAGTGACTAAACTTGACTGCTGCTTAGATGCCTCGCGACGGCAAACTTAGTCATCACTTTAGGACTTTATGACGGCTAGATTTCGTAGGAGGAGAAGAAAGAAGTGGGAGAAATGAATAAGAGGAGAAAAAAGATAATAATAATAAAGGAAGAAAAAGAAAAAAGATAGAACATGGGGAGGGACAAGAAAAAGAACAATAAAAGAGAGAAAATAATTATTACTATTTATTTTATTTTTTATACTTAAAAAGGTTGAAAAGACAATATTGCCTTCCTTAAGAAAATGGAAATGTCTATAATACTATACTTTAATTGATCAAATTAATGAGAAAAGAGTTAAAGTTCCTACTTCCAAATCAACCCGCGCTCCCTACAATTTGGTGGAACTTTTCAGAATTACCAAAAAAATAAAAAAAAATAAAAAATTTGTCAAAACCTCCATTATATATATATATATAAACCGAAGAGAGAAGAAAAGGAAGGAAAACAAGGAAGACAGAGAGAGGAGAGTAGTTGAACTCAAATGAACAGAAATACATCTGATCACAAACAAAACAAAGCTCTGAAATGAAATAGATAAAAAGATACCAAGATGGTCCTAGTAAAATCCACTTTATAACCACAATATTTACACAAATATTTCTCATGGATGAGACCGAAACAATCAGAAAGCAGAGAAACCAAGAACTAGATAAGAGTATCATCAATGTACTCTAACGAAACTAGAAAGACAAAACGAGGAAGTGCAATGGGTAAGTCGCTTAAATCTTCTCAAGTTCAGTCACAACATCAGACATTTTTGGCCTGAAATCAGGAGTCTGATCAACGCACCTCATTGCCAGGTCAAAGATTCCAATGAATTGCTTCATATCATAACTTGTTAACTTTTGATCCACCAACTCGGAATAACTTCCTTTTTTATGTAACACAGCAGCCTGCATTAACGCAACTATGTCACCCTCAAATGCATATTCGTATCTGAAAATTCAATTGGTTGATGTTGACTAAAATGCTATTACCCGCATGCAGTCCATATCCTAAATAAACATGTATGATATATGGTTAATTTCGAGATAGCATAAATTTGTCGAAGCCTCTTACCCTTTGTAAAAGAGATTCTCTCTCTTCCTTCCCTTCATGTTTTGAATTACTCTGCCCACTAATTATTTCAAGCAGAACAATCTTATCTATTAGGTTTAAAAAAATATGTATAAATATAAATAAATTTTAGTTTTTCGTTAATATTTTGCTGTGGATGTTAGATTTATTTTGCTTTGGTAAGGCACCAATTATCATAAAATGACAGGAGTATTTTAAAACTGAAACTAACCTACATCTTATCTATTAGGTTTAAAAAAATATGTATAAATATAAATAAGAGAAGAAAGAAAAGGCTTGGAAATAGAGAACAAACAGGTTTATTAATGATGAACTCCAATTGCCAATACATGATGGGATTACACCGGTAATATTGCAGTTCCTTAGCACGCTGCAGGAAATTGTATCAGATCAAATCGAACTAAACATTAGCAAATGATAAATATCCAAATGTAATATCAAAATAACCAAGAACAAAATTGATTTCCAGCAATGAAATTAAAGTTTCTAGACCTACATAGACTAAAATTATTATGGACAACATGAAATGAAATTTACACTTACAGAGTTTCTATACTTGGCAAATTACTGGAGTTTGGGAAAGCAAAACCGGTGCTTTTAAGATCACTAACTTGTTTGGAATAAACAAAGGCAATCGATAGTATTGAACGTAAGTATAAAGAGTTCGTTTCGCAAATAAGAAATAGCGGAGATAGGATAGTTCTTACAGAATCTCAAGACTTGTCATATTAAAAATTGTTGAAGGCAGTACTCCTATAAAATTGTTTCCTAACAAAATCCTGTGACAGTTAGAGAACAGTCCGTCAAAGCAATCCATCCTTCCTAGCTACTTTGATTAGGTGGACTATATGCACTGAAATAAAATATTTCCCTATTTTAAAGTACAAGCTCTAATTTAATTAAAGATTTGACTTTTCTCATCGATTCTCTACAAAGTCTTTTTGGTTAATTTGCATAGTATTTTCTATTCAATAAGTATTAATACTGATTTTATGCTAATATTATGAAGATACATGATGTGAAAAATCAAAATTTATAAATGTTAATAGTGTGCCTAGTGCTAAATATTGGTGATCATATAACCACCATCTCAAGTACCCTGAAAAATATATTTATAAGGTATCCTAAGGATAATGTTGGCTCTCAAGCGGGGGCAGAACCAAATATATATAAATTCATCAATTTCATCCCTTCACAGTCATTTTCTCCCCCTCAATTTTGAATGTAACCCTTTAGGCCCCCATAAATTTCTTAAATCATCCTTTAATTTTAAAGTAGCTATAGCCCTCTCATTCATTGAAAGTTACCTTTTGCCCCCCAGAATAAATTTCCTGCACGCCTCCACCTGAGTCTTGAGGAAAGGAAGAGAAGCATGTAAAGCTTTGAGAGTCCAAAGTACAAACTTTATGTCAATACACCATTCTTTTAGTATTTTAGCTTTAGTTTGTTTTGAATATTTAAGTTAGCATAAAATGCTAGAAATAGCTCGTTTCTCCGTGTAAGCATGGTTGCTTTTTATAAAGTTAAAACCCTAACCCAAGTAATTATTGAATAACAAAATCCTTTTGAGATTTTTGGAATAATAAAAACCGTTCGAGATTTTTGAAATAAAATAAACAGCAAAAAAACAACTCAGTAAATATATATTAATTTATAATAGTGTAAGTTTAACGACACATTTATGGTTTATTAACAGTAGAGAGAATTTTATTAATTTATAAACCTTAAGGGGATTTGAAATGTTACATCAAACTTCAGGAACGATATCTTTTAACTCTTTTAATTATTATAAAAAGATGAAAATGCACATAGACAATTAGTTTTAACGGCTTCTTATAAAACTTAGGTATCATTGACGAACTCTAGAATTACATGTACCAATACTAATTAATTAAGAAATGCATATAATACAGCTTACAGTCTACTTAGATTGGTCCAGTTCGCGATGAAGGGGGGAATGGGCCCACTCATATTATTCCCACCTACCCCGCTGCAATGACAATCAAGTTAATAGACTTCAAAACATGGCTACAAGAATACAAGTTACCAAGAGGTTAACACGAATTGGAAAAATAAAACTTGTTAAAATTAATTAAATGGATGGGGCACTTACAACGCCTCCAAACTTCAGGCACTTTCCCAGTTAAATAGTTGGATGTCACCCAACTGCAATCACAAAGCAATTGCTTCTAATAGAAAGTCATCTCTTATTTTATTCGCTAATCATTATACCATATTCAAAAAACAAAAAAAACAAAAGGATTTCACTTAATTAAACATTCTTCTTTCTTTCTGTCGTTCTTGTTCAGCTACATATATACTTACAGTACTTGAAGATTTCTCAAATTTCCAATTTCTTCTGTAAGTGTACCGTTCAGTTCATTATCATCCAAAAACCTATTTTTATTTTTAGAACAAATAGCTGGAGTTATTTCATTTGGAGAAAGAATCATTTAAGATTTGAAGCAGAGTGATCGAGGAAAGATTACATACAATATCTGGAGCTGGGAAAGTTCTCCAAGTTCGTGAGGAATTGCACCTGATAACTTGTTAAAAAATAAATATCTGCAAAACACCAGAAAAATAAGGTTGCGCAAAAGAAATGATGCATATGTCATCTTATTCATTACATTAACTGAAGAAGTTGCATAGATTGTGAAGATACTTAGAGGTATTCAAGAGAATTTAGATTGCCCAAAGATGGTTGACACGACCCGTCCCGACCCCCCTTATCCCATAGGCTCCGGGCGCACCCATGAGACTCAGGTGATCGAGACGTGCCATGTGAGAAAACTATAAAACCTGTTTATAAATAAAATATCATAAAAATGTAACGTCATTTGCATATAAACAAATGCAATTGGAATTTTCACAAAATGAAATTTATGGTATCAGATTTTTCCATATCTTTAATAATCCAAACAAGAAATAAATACATGATGAAAGAAACATAAACTTTGCAGCGGCAAACAAAATACAACTATAGAAGTCTTTTATTGTGAAATGAAGTCGTGTGCCCAACCTATGAAATTCACTCCTCTGCACGATCACCCTCTAGACCTGGTGGGGGGAAAAGAAAAATTTGAAAACGAGGGGTGAGCTAGAAATGCTCAGTGAGTGGGGAATGGGTTAGTATGAAAAAAACATTTCAATATACAATAAAAACACCTCAGCTTATAAAATTTCATTTCCGTATACCATTTATAATAAAGCCATCTTTCATAACACGCGAAATCTCTCATGGCAGACTTCTTTCTGAACACTATTATGATAAACATAAATACTCATGTTTCTCTAAAACATCATTCTAAGTAACAATTCATATACGAATCATTACATTTATAAGTTTCCATTTTCAATAAATGATATACATATCCAAACTATCTCTCAATCACATGTGAAAACTCTCACCCAACTAGTACCCTGGGAAATTTGTCATACCTGTGGCTTCCCACACGCAGGCAGAGCGAGGGACGTACCTGTCATACCCAGCAAGATCTATCATCGCGTGGGCAGAGCCACTGAAACTGTCATACCTGGTAGACCCTCAATGCCCGGCAAGCAATAGCTAAATCTGTCATACCTGGCGGACCACTCACGCCAGGCAGAGCCAATAAAATCTGTCATACCCAGCAAGATCTATCATCGCACAGGCAAGCCACTGAAACTGTCATACCTGGCGGACGACTCAACGCCCAGGCAGAGCCAATAAAATCTGTCATACCTGGCGACTACTCAACGCCCAGGCAGAGCCAATAAAATCTGTCATACCCGGCAAGATCTATCACGCACGGGCAGAGCCACTGAAACTGTCATACCTGGCGACCACTCAACGCCCAGGTAGAGCCAATAAAATCTGTCATACCCGGCAATCTATCATCGCACGGGCAGAGCCACTGAAACTGTCATACCTGGCGGACACTCAACGCCCAGGCAGAGCCAATAAAATCTGTCATACCTGGCGGAATCCTGCATCGCTCAGGCAGAGCCAAAATCGTATCTCTGGGGGATGGGTACTTCGTAGGGTGGTTTTAGCACCACAGCATACTCATGCATAGTCTCAAGTAACATGTAAGTCAATAGCATATTTCGTATGTCTATAAATCATACATATATATGACATAATATTCAAAAGTCATATATAAGTGAAACTACAATTTTCTAAACATGTTTCAGAAACTGACGGTTTTAACCCAGATTGAAAATTATTACTAACCTCACAAATTTGAGTCTTTTCTTTAACATTTTAACAGCCAAAATGCCTTAACTCCCAGCATTTTAAACACCATGGAAATCAATTTTCTCAAAGACAGTCCAACTGGAAGCATACAATTGTATTTAACTAACCACTTTAGTCCAACTATATAACTCAAGCACCTCTCAAAATGCAATCCAGCCGAGTGCATGCAACCCAAAATATCTAGCCACCATCTCAGTTTATTGAAACAGCCAATGCATGCAAGTTTAATTAGCAACAATCCCTTTAAAACTCAAAACAACCACTCTAGATTTGTCCGAAACATGCAAGAAGAAACAAACCAAGCAAGCTTCACATTTTGCTCAAACCCCACCAATATATAATGCATACTAGAAAATATCATACAAGCATAGATCTGAAATTTTTAAGGAAGTTTTTATTAAAACCATCACCATTTGAAGCTCGACCTAAGCCAAAATGACTGAATCTTCTAATATGCCCCCGCTTGCCTCCCTATGTACAAATTCAATAAATCCCCATACATAAGTCCCCATAATGAACGTCTCAATATTAAAATCATTGGACACTTCACACACCAAAAGATTAACTAAACTTCTGCTTTAACAAACTGTCTCATAATCGAACATCGGTCGCTCTCGATTTTCTTAAAATTCTATTTTTCATTTTAAGCCATCATTTTAACAGAGCGTTCTAGAGACACATAAGTTGTTCCCATAATTTTCTCAAGTCATTCCAGAATCAATAACTATTTAAAACACATTTCCTTAACTCATTCAAATCTGTCCCGTTCGCAAAATTGAGTACTGACTTGAAAATTCATAACAATTCAGCCCTTAATCTAAACTCATGAAACTCTCCAGAATTAACTAGACCACATAGGATTCACCAGAATTTAAAATCACTCAATTTGGATAAGAAAGATGCACAACTCATTTCCAAAGATACATGTTCTGCAGAAAACGAAAATTCCAGGATTCACAAGGCAACTTCAAAAATCCAATAAACAATCCTTCGAATTTTAAGTGAAATAAATTCTGAACACTCCTCAAGAAGTCTACACAACATATCCAAAATTCGGCTTCAAACAAAACCCAAACATACAAACAATTTTCGGAGTTCCAGATGGTCAGATTTCTGTATAATAAACCCTTACATCAAAAATCATATCTTTAACCCATTTTTGTTTAGAAACCACCTCTATGTTCTACCCACACCAAATTATTAAAATCAATCTCCCTATTTTAGTTTTGTTTTCATGAATTTATACCAAATCATAGACAAAACAATCCAAAGAGAGTTCTGAATCATAAATCACCAAAAAGAGGAAATATCAAGCTTTACTAACCTCCCATTTGCTCGATCTTCCTCCACTCTCCGATCACCGGAGTTTTGCTCGCCGGCGGCCCCTTTTGCAGCCACCTCCGTCGGTCTCCTATCTCCTCTCTCCCTCTATTCTTGGTTTCATCTTTCTCTCCCATCTTTTTCTTTTCTTTCTTTCCTTCTTCCTCTCCTTCTCTTCTTCTTCTTTCTCTCTTCTCTCTTTTCTTTCTTCCTTTTTCTCTCTTTTCTTTTCTTCTTCTTCCCCGTTTTTCTTTTCATTGAATGATCACTGTTCATCAAAATATCTGAAAAATTTCAATTTAGTCCTCACTTATTTCGACTATCACCTTGTACTCCCCAAAACTTCCAAATTATTACAATTTACCCCAGAATCACAAAATAAAATTTAATAAAACTCCATTAAAAAAATACGGGGTATTACAATGGTGGTATGATGTAAGGGGAAAAATAGAGACAGTTTGAAGTAGCAGAAGAAAGAAATTAATTTAGTAAAAAGATACTTACAGTTCTGTTAAGTTCTTCAAATGCCCCAGGCTCGGAGGTATAGTCCCCGTCAACAGATTTCCTGCAAGGTGTCTGATCATTACACATATTCGTTATATATACACATATATATCATAGATATAGCTACTCATCATTACATTGAATCTTAAAATTATAATATACCACTAAGAAAATAAAAATAAGAATTATTGAACTTAATTGTGTAGCAAGATTCAAGACTTACAGTGTGGTGAGATGAGATAAATCCCCCAAGTTAGAAGGAATGGAACCATGAAGTTGGTTTTCGGATAGATCTCTGTTAAGTTTTTGACAACAATCAAACCGCTAAATATTTGAGCAAAAGGATGATGTTGTCGACTTTGCAACATGATTAAATGTAACGATATACTTACAGTGTCTGTAGGTATGTAAGCTTAGTGATATCTGGATGGATAAATCCTTCTAAAAGTACACTCGCCGTGGTTCTGTTCACCAAATACGGTGAAAATTAACATTAAAAACTTTCTTTATGGTAAGATGGTAAGGTTCATTGTCAATCTGAAATTTTGATTGTACTACAAATATGGTTGAACTTACATTCCAATGACGTGCAACTTATTATCTGTACCACTAGTATTCGAGCAAGAGATGTAAATAGAATTAAGATACGGTTGATCGTCGCAGAACAAAGATGAGATAGTTGAACCGAAGGAATTTAGGACAGTGTAAAGAGCATCCGCTGCTCAAAAAAAAAAAAAAAAAAAAAAAAAAAAAAAAAAAGAATACTCTGTTAGAATAAGAAGCCTAATAATTGGAAAGCATGCATACCAAATGACTGTAATAGCATGTTATAACAGTGTTTTTCTTTTTCCTTTTTTAATCATGCTCCCTCATCCGGGCAAATTCAAATTAATTGAGCTACCTTTAGTACTAGGGAGATTTAATCTCTAGACCTTTTGCTTCTCGCTATAGTTAACTAAGCTAATTAAAATAACTAATTAAACTGCAAACGTCCAACCTCTTTACATTTTGTTAAGCTGTCATTTCGTTTTCATGGTGTAAGCATAACACGAACGAAATCCAATCTTAAAACTGAAGTAGATACTCAAAACTGTTAGGACTGGAAGAACTAAAAAAGTTTGCACTACATCCGGTGGTCAAATTCAATACCTTCATTATCGTCAAGTGAAGGTGTATTGTCGTCAGTCATCTGGGCTGAACATCGAGATCTGGATCCAGGGTCAAGTGGACAAAGAACAAATAAAACAAGGAAGAAACTAAACTTAGTAAGAAGCATTACAGAACGTGCATCCATATTTTTTCTTTCTGCTCACTGCTGTGCTCTTTGCTAATGAGCGCCACTCATCTCGATTCCATAATGAGGATATTATTAAATAAAATAAAAAATTTGGATTTTTCCGACTAATCACTTCAATATAGCTGTATAAGCATGACGTGTATACCATAAACTCATAGTTACGTTATCTAATCTGGTTTTATTTTATTTTCTCTCTCTCTCTCTCTTTAAAACATAAATTCTCGACTGTTTTAGTGTAAGTAAATTTAGGTTCAAGGATTTAAAATAAGCGACGTAACAAATCCAAATGTTATAGTATAATAACATGTTTATCCAAATAAAAATAATAGCCGTCACTAACCTAATTTATTAGATAGAAAGGTAAAATTAAATGAGTTATAATAACACCGTAAGCTCAGCACATGGGAGAATGATTTTTTTTTTTTTTTTCACATGATAATTGAACATGAGTAACAAAGGAATATATTAAACAAATGATTTATCTAATGACGTACACCCAGTGGCGGACCCAAGATTTTTGCCCAGGGGGGGCCCTGTCACTCCGTCACTATTTGCCAATCAAGTAGTGAAAACATAAGAAAATAATTTACAGGGAAACACAACAAAATTTTTACGTGGAAAAACCTCTTCAATATGAAGAGATAAAAAAACCACAGGAATCTAACGACCCACTTAAATCCAATATAATCAAAAGAGTTTACAATAACTACAAATCAACCAAAAATATTCTACACAAATTTAGAGCTCAATTACAACTCTAACAAAAGTAAGATACACAAAGGTTTACAAAGAGATGGATTACAATCACTCTAAATCCAGATCTAGACGTTAACATTCTAACTCAACCGTCTATATTAAAGATCCACACATCCTCTGCATATTGACCCAAAAATCAAGTTAGAATGGTATACCTAAAGATCTAAATAATATGAATATTTATTATTTAAAGATGAAAGCAAGTTAGAATAGTATACCTGAAGATCTTCAATTTAACACGATTTTTCGCTTCATTATGTTCTGAAAATGTTCAATGATATCTTCATTTTGAATTGTAGCAAAAACTTCCTTTTCAATGTAAACTACTAAGCAATTGTTCATCCACTCGTCTCCCATTCGATTACGCAAAGTATTCTTAACAAGATTCATTGCAGAGAACACCCTTTCAACTGTTGCAGTAGCCACAGGCAAAACCAGTGCTAATTTAATAAGCAAGAAAACTTTGTCATAAGCAACATCCTTCTTAAACTCAACCATTTTTTTTGCAAGATCGGCAATCCCATCAACATGAGTGAAATTGGCATTGGTGCTAACATCCTCATAATAATTTTCAAGTTGATTATCGAGCAACCAAATATCGTGTTGAGGAAAATCGGCAGGATAGAACTTTGCAAACTCAAGTAATCTGTCTTTATTAAATGCAGCAAAAGAGTTACTTGGATCAAGAGATGCCATACACTGAAGCAACCCCATGTTTACTTCATCAAAACGATTATTGAGTTCTTCTTGAATGTTATCTAAAACTGTGTACATCAATTCCACCTTAAAATGATGTTTATTCGTAATTGGCGCAATCCCTCGTTTTGTCCTCCCAAAATTATCTTCCATGTTCTCCGGGATTGGTATGTCATTATCTTTACACAGATCATAAGCTTCTTTCAACAATATGTCGAAGCAAGTGTCTTCATTTCTCAATTTATGCAACCGACGCTTCGAAATTTGTACAAACTGCATGGCATTAAGGAGATCTTGATCTTTTCTTTGTAATGCTTGTGACAGTTCATATGTGATTCCCAATACTTTCTTCATCAAGAATAACAAAAAGACGAATTCAAAATTCTCCATGATTCGTAATAAACTCCTTGCTTGACTTTTGTTTTGCCAATCATCTCCTTCAATCTCAATCACTCTGAGCACACCAACAACAGAAGAAAATAAGTTTATGACACTATGAATTGTCCCTATGTGTGAACCCCAACGTGTATCTCCTGGTCGTTTAATAGTACATTCTTGATTCAAACCGCGTCCCGTCTGAATATCACCATTAGAAATCAAAGATATCACATATTCATACTGATTGTCACGTAGAAGATCTCTGCGCTTGCAAGATGCTGCCACAGTGTTTGATAACATAGAAAGAGTTTGAAAAAATTCACCCAATGCTGAATGTTTACTTACAACTTTGACTAGCGCCAATTGGAGCTGATGAGAGAAACAATGAATGTAGAAAGCAAATTTATTTTCTCTCAATATTAAAGTCTTCAAACCATTGAACTCACCCCTCATATTGCTTGCTCCATCGTAACCTTGGCCCCGTAAACTTGTCAAACTCAATCCATACTTTACAAAAAAGGCATCTATTGCAGTTTTCAAAGACTTTGCAGAAGTATTCTTAACATGCACAATCCCAATAAAACGTTCGATAACACAACCCATTTTGTCCACATAGCGAAAAACAATAGCCATTTGTTCTTTCACTGCCACATCACGAGATTCATCAACCAGTAAAGAAAATGGTTGTTTATCTCTCACAATTTCTGCAATAATTTTCTTGGTCGTCAAATGAGCACAAACACTAGTTAGTTGCCTCTGGATTTTGGGGGCCGTCATTTGATGGTTTTTCGGAGCATTTCCCAGCACAACTTTCTTTATGTCGTCATTGTGATTGGATAGAAACTTCAATAGTTCCATAAAGTTACCTTGATTTTCAGATTCAACTGACTCGTCATGACCACGAAATGCTAATCCTTGATGTAAAAGAAATCTAATGCAATCAATTGATGCATTCAAGCGAATACGATAATCCAATTTGCCCTTTTTCGACACGCAACCAAGATTTACATCGATGTGTTGCCTTTGGTTCATCAAATCAACACACTTGGCATGACATTGGTTATGAGTACTAGAATGATCACCAACATGTTTTTTCACTTTTGCTTTATCTTTCCAGTTATTATATCCCTTATTCACAAAAACTTCACCACCTGCTTGGTCACCATAATCGGGTTTGAAAAGATAACAATTCAAACAGAAGATTGCATCTTTTGCCACACTATATTCCATCCAACATGAACCTTCTTTGTACCACTCTGATGTAAACCTACGTTTTTTATCTCCAAAAGGAGTGAAAGGAAAGTTATGATCTTTAGGTTGGCAAGGACCTTTCAACAAGTATGCTCTTCGAACTTCCTCTTTTTGTTTGTCAGTACAACAAAGCTCATTAATTGGTATCCTCAATCCTGGGTCAGTTTCAAGCTCATCTAAATTGAACACCCCGATTGAACGTTGAGCTTCTTTTTCTTGGTGTTGTTGTTGCTGTTGTGGGGTTTCTTCTTCTAATGGGGTTTGATTAACCTCAATATCAGTAGAGTCTCCATCAACATTTTTTGCTGGACTTTTCTTCAGTCTCTTGAAATAATTGGATATCATAATCTTATTTGTTAATGCTTTGGATTCCAAATCCAGTAAACATATAATGAATTAATACCAAAGTGGGATCCCAAAAATAAGAGACAAAGAGATTCCTATTAAAAAAAAAAAAACTAATTAATTTAGCAACTTAATTTTTTCTTGAATAAGATACATGAACAAGCCATGATATATTTAAATTCATGAAACATGATAAATAAGACATATTTTAATTTAACACATCTATTTAACACACGTTACACACCATGTCAATATGTCACCATATATAATACATTCAAATATTTAATTACATAAGACATGTTTGAAACAAGAGCCAGGAAAACAAAGTCAAAGATAATAGAAAAAAATTCTTTAACTTATTATTTGTCTCACTAAAAGTCTAAAACTGGGTCCACCACTGCTAAAATTTTTCACCCAAACGCCAAACCCAATACTCTAAAGGCATCAATAAGATTTTCTTCAAAAGCAGTAGTTTATTATTTGTCTCACTAAAACTGAGTCTGCCAGACTGCCACTGCTAAAATATTTCGCCCAAACGCCAGACCCAATACTTTAAAGGCATCAATAAAATTCTTCAAAAGCAGTAGTTTATTATTTGTCTTACTAAAACTGGGTCCACCAGGACCACCACTACTAAAATTTTTCACCCAAACGCCAAACCCAATACTCTAAAGGCGTTAATAAGATTCTTAAAAAGTAGGTAGTATGTCATTAAATAAGGAAATACTAATTACTAACCTTCAGAGTTCAGGGGCTTCAGCAGACGCAGTCACGCAGATGAGAGAAGTTGAAAAGGGGGATTTTTTTAATTTTCAGGTTGAGCTTCAGCCGCATGTAAAAAGGGAGTTGGGAACTGGGGTAGAAAAAGCTGAATAAGGAAAAGACGAAAGCTAACTTTTCAGTTTTTAACCTTTTATTTTATTTTTTAATCTTCCAAAAAAAATCAAAAAAAACTTTGCAATTTTTTTTAAAAATCTGAGGGCAGGCTTGGGCCTACCCTCAAGGGGCTTGGGTCCGCCCCTGCGTACACCTATCTATTTTGTTTAAGATTTTTCATTTTATTTTCTTAATTTTATAATTGGCGTCTTTTATATTATTATTTTAACTATTATATCATTAAAATAATTTATAATAAAAAATATTTTTCTTTGACTTAAACACTTATTATTTTAATTTTCCTTGGATAAAAGTAATTCTTATGAAAAACATTTTTCATATTTTTTTATATTCATTATATCTAATTATTGCTTTGTTTATTTTATTTATATTCAGACAAAGAAAAATGTTTTTTTATGTCTTTTTATCAAATTTCGTGTGTGAGATAACGGATTAGGTTTTTTTTTTTTTTTTTTTTTTTTTTTTTTTTTTTTTTTTTTAGACAATGTTTTTTTATCAACATGACATAATAAAATTTTAAAATTTATTAAATTTTCAAAATAATTTCATCCAAATCCAAAATCTAAATAACAATATAATATAAATAAAATATATTGAAAATCCAAACCTAAAGACGAAATAAAATTTTAAAATTCTAATAAACTTCCAAAACTGGCATTTTCGACCCTGAATGAATTTTTCACGATGGTTCTTTCTAAGTCATTGTCTTGTTTTGTTTCTTGATTTTAATTAATAAAAGTCGCTCTCTTTTTTTATTTCTTGATTTTAATTGATAAATTACTTCTATTTATTGAATAAAAGTAGAATATTTTATGGGGTTGTCTTAGATTTTAGAGTAATATTACATTTACATTACTCTTTACACTATTTTTGTTACATCATGATGTGTCATATGTCATAATTATATAAAATTTTAATTATTTAAAATTTTTAATATTATAATAGAATTATTATTAATAAAACGGTCATGATGTAATAAAAATAATGTAAAAAGTAAATTTTTTAATATTATAATAGAATTATTATTAGTAAAATGATCATGATATAGTAAAAATAATATAAAGAGTAATGTAAATATAATATTAAGGTAGATTTTAAGGAGGGAATGGGACAAGGTCTATCACCTCATAGGGCTAGGTAATCTGTCTTATTTCGATAGACTTTCCATTGACACCACTTTTTCATTATTATTTATTAAAGTTACAAGAAAAGAACCGCTAAATATATGAGTACACAAGACAGAAGCCATGAATGAATTTTCCACAATGGTTATTTCCAAAATTGTTCTATTTCTTCTGAGTGAACTTTGATTTGGACCTAGATTTTGGAGTTTAGCCCAGGAGTCGCCTTATAATGAAGGTGTTAAAATTTATTTAGATTTTTAATCAGATGTTAATAAATCTTAAATTTTCATGAAAACGAATAAAACATAAATAATCAACTATATACACAAACATAAGATTTATAGTAGTTACCGTTGTAAATAGAAATTACAAAAGTCATTCATAAGCCTCACAGATTGGCTGTCTCACTGAGTCTCTCTCTCTCTCTCTCTCTCTCTCTCTCTAATTGTAATATTGTCTTCTATTGTATTCAATTACCTAATTATATGATTTGATCTCTTTTTATAAGTAATATATATGATATTATTCATAATATGACTCAAATCTCTTATCCTAATATTGAGTGGGAGAGTGGCCATGCTAAATTAGGTCTCAAGGCTCTTACAAAAATTGGATCCTAGGGCTCTTTTAGAATGATGCATTCAGAATAATTGGATCCTTATTTTTAACTGTCTTAAAAGCTCACTTATTAATACTAATTAATAGGTAATGATATTTTAAAATTTTTTACAAAGTGACTCGGTCAGGTGATCGGGTCTTGGTTTGGGCGGCCAAACCAATTTGACTGACAGGTCGGATCAGCGATGTCATCTTGCTAACATCATTATGACCAAAAAATCCCAATAAATTTTAAAATAGTCATGTTCAGATTTTCAATTTAGTTTAATTAATTTCAAAGAATGGGATGAAATTGAACTCATTCTCATCCTTACCACTCAAAGGCTCACAAGAAATCCCTTCCACCAATCAAAACTCAAACCTTTGGATCATCTTGACCATTAGCCAATAACCAATTGCATTCCAGATAAGGCCATTTCATCCTCTCTTTCTTTGCAAAAAACCCAAAACCTGATCATGATCATCAACTAATACAAAATCCTCTTCCTTTTGTCCCTGAAGGATTAATAGCTGAATTGAAAAGAAAACTGAAGCAATGAACGAATCAAGAGAGAAAAGAAAAAGGGAAAAAAATCTGTTTAAAGTGTTCTGTTATTGAAAATTGGCAAAGCAGGTCAGTTACAGACGACTTTATATAGTCTGTTACAACTTTTGTTTCTTTACAAAAACAACCCTACTCAACTTCTAATCTTTGCAGAAACAACCCTGCTTCTTATACTTATTCCAATATCTTCCCGTAAACCAAAGCCCCTGAACTGATTTATCTTGATCAATATCTTCATCACAAACAACAACTCAGCTCTTTCAAAAATTCCACTATCACAAACATTTTTATTCCACTGTATCACAATAGCAGATTTCATTCCCCTGCATCACAAAAAGCTTTCATTCCACTGCATTTCACTGTATCACAAAATAGATTTCATGTTGCAGAAACTCCAAACCTATCTGCGCATCACCAAACAGCTTTCATCTACTGCATTTTCACGCATCACAAAACAGATTTCATGTTGCAGAGACTCCAACACATATTGCTTCCTGCAAAATCTTACAGCTTCACAAACAACAACAAGTTTCTGCAAACTAAAAAAAATCCACTGCATCACAAACAACAAACAATCTACAACATCCACTGCAAACAACAGCAACACAACCTGCAACATCCATATAACACAAAAAACAACCAAGCTGCAACATTCCACTGCAACATTCCATTGCCACACAAAACACAACCAATCTGAAAAATTCCACTGCTACAAAAACACAACCAAACTACAACATTCCACTGCAACACAAAACAGATTTCGTTGCAGAGACTTCAAACCATATTTACTGCTGCAAATTCTTACTGCATCACAAACGAAAAATTTCTGCACAAACTCCTATGTCATACAAATATATCCAAACTACTGTGAATACTGGTTGCAAGCTCATATGTGACAGTTAGTCTGTAGCATAGCAAAACGGGAACAAGGAAGGGCTTTAGTTAGGATATCAGCTATTGATTCAGAGAAACTACTGCACATTTAACAACCTTTTTGTCTAATTCCCTAACAAATGTACATCAATTTCGATGTGCTTTGTTCGGGCATGAAAAACCGATTTGAGGATAATGCCCTAGCACTCATGTTATCACACCATATGATGGGAGTGTTGTTTATATGAATGCCAAGTTCCTGAATAAGTTCTGAATCCAAACAAGTTCAGTGGTGTTTGACTAAGAGTTCGGTATCAGTTCGTAGAAGATAAGGACACTACCTTCTGTTTTCTAGATGACATTGGACCAAGTTACCTCCAAGAAATACATTGTACCACATAGTGGATCTCCTATCAATTTCTTCTCCCCCATCAGATCTGAAAATGCTTCTAAAGTAAAGGGGTTTCTTGGTAAAAGAATACCATGCTGCAATGTTCCCTTGACATATCTGAGGATTCGTTTACATGCTGTCCAGTGAGCTTAAGTGGGCTGCTGCAGAAATTGACTGAGCTTATTGACAGCAAAAGCTAAGTTCGGCCGAGATAATTAGATATTGAAGTCCACCAATGACACTTCTCTACAGTGTAGGTTGTTCAAACACCTTACTATCCTCCTTGCCAGTCGAGACTAGTAGCCATGGGAGTGGAACAAGGCTTCGAATCTGCCATTCTGCCTATGAGAAGATCATGTGCATATTTGGTCGGGACAGCAGTAAACCAGAATCATTTCTCTTTACCTCAAACCCCAGGAGTACTGCACTGACCAAGAGTTTTTAGGGCAAATTTGCTATTAAGTCAGACAACAAGCTGATATGAGCTCAGAATCATTCCCTGTTACAAGGATATCTCTACATACATAACAAATACATAATTGAAACTTTTTGT